AGATAGGGCTAGGGAATAGATCTGGATTGACATCTTGACATACACTGTTCCACGGTTTGACAATACGGTTGAAATAAGAAGATTGAAACGTAGCAGTTCTGCACATGGGAGTTTGAAGCATTACACCAGTAGCTTGGCTAAGTCGAGTACGTCCATGTTGAACAAAAGAGACGCAATTGTTAATGTTAAGATCGACGTAACCACACAACGACCCGAAGTTTTATACGAGATCTTTCATCTCTCTATCGTAGTAGAGTGATAAGAGTTCCAACTTCAACAGGCGTTGCTTGTATGGCATTTCACAAGTCTCGGTTCTTAGAATCCATTTCGTGGCTCTTCTTTGTACTCTTTCAATCCTTTCACTGAGTTGTCTGTTGTGAGTAGGCGACCGAACTTTGTGGCATAGCTGAGCTTCGACTTCACCAGCGAAGTATACAATGCACGTCGGATGTTGATGTCTGTGAGTGAGTAGCAAGTCTTCTAAAATTTGACCTTAATAGGGCTATATTTTAGACAAAAAGTTACAAAAATACGTAATAACAGTAAAATGGTTAAACGACATACCAAATCATACCAGACCTACATTCTTAATTACTGTATGCAAAGTTTAAGACCAGCCTTCCTCCCTACATTAATATGTAATTTAATATCATACCGCACATGTGTAACATATATAAACACAATTACAATCAATGGGCAGAACGATATATAACGCAAACAGACTCATTTACATACTGAAAGAAACCTTCGGATTAACAGAGATTCAACCACTTAAATATACAAGCCAAATTTCGAGGTTTTGCTTGTATTTTTGAGTTACGGTAATTCAGTATAAAACGTAGGCCTACCCTATCTTTCAATTCGAAGCTTTGTGTTGTTATCATTTATCAGTATATATATATATATATATATATATATATATATATATATATATATATATATATATATATATATATATATATATATATATATATATATATATATATATATATATATATATATATATATATATATATATATATATATGGAACAGAATTTTTGAATAGAATGCTCGTCAAGGTCTGGCGGTTCATATAGCTCCATTTTTTGTTTTTAGTTTTTTATCCATATTTTGACATCATTTATGGTAACTTCATTATATTCATTTTGAAATCAATGGAGTTTCTTGCAATCTGATTGGCTTTCAGCAGTGCGATTTCAGTATGAATCGCACTCATACGTTTGATTTCGATCAGGCCAAATTGCTCTCCATTCAGTTCAATCACCATTATGAATAGTAACAGCAAACTGTTATCTTTTTGTTAAATACTGTAGAAGCTTGATTACACATTTGTGGGTATCAGTCAGCAAGATGTGAATGAACTTCGCGAGAAACATGACGTCGTTCCAATGAAGTTGAATCAAACTAGGCTTGCTGTTGAAATTGGAGATGTTATTCATATTCCACAACATCCTGATGGAAGAGAAAAGAGAATCAGCTATTCCACAGTCTGTAAGGTCACTGCATTTGAAGTATTTTATAAAGCTGACACATATTTTGGTTCATCTGGATCCCCAGTGTTTTACAGTCAAAGTAATAATATGTATGTCCTGGCCTTACACAAAGATGGTGGAGTGGAATTATCTAATGGAAGACAGGCCAATAGAGGAATATTAATTAGTGCTATATTGGATCACATATGTCAACACAGTGGTAAGCTTCTTTGTTGTGTGTGGAAACACCATGTCTAGAATGTGTGACCCCAGTCTCGTCTGAGTAACATAAAGATCGCAGGTACCCAGTACATAAGTAACAATCTCACAACTTGTCAACAAGATGTGTTTGCACTGCTGGTTACCAGTTGTTGACAAGTCCAGAACAAGTTGTTATCATCTTGTAACAAAAGTTCATGAGGCCAACAGCAACAAGTTGTTCCAACATATTTAATATTGTCTGCTTATAACAAGTTGTTGCCAAGACGATGATAATAAGTTCGTAGGAACTTGTTACAAACAGCCAGTATTAGGCTTGTTGGAACAACTTGTAGCAAGTTTGTTATCATCATCAACCTTGTAACAAGACAAAAGCAGTTTAAAGTTTGTTCGTTCACTGCAACCAAACTTGTATATCAATCATGTTTCGCTCGCTACTCTGGTTTAAATAAATGATTACAAAGCCCAGTCGAATTGTAATCAAGACCCAACGTTTCGACATTCCAGTCTAGTGTCTTCATCAGAGGTGATCTAAAATTGCAATCGCGGCTTCTTAAATACCCAAGGGATGACGTTACCTGCCAATGAGATGCATTATTCCTCTGGCAAATAGGCACCGTCATCCCTATTCAAAGCATGAAAACTCATATTTATATGCCACGCTTCTAGGCAAAGTCTTTGACCATAGCGATTGTTTGTGGTAATTACTTTAGCGTTTTCCCACGCAATCTCGTGTTTGGTGTAACATACATGTTCTGCTATAAAGCTGATTTTCCCTTGTCTAAAGTTGAAACAGCCTTTTGATGTTCTTTTAGCCGTGTACCAAACTGGCGTTTAGACTGACCCAAATACTCTTCTCGCCGTCACCGCATGGTATAGAATATACAGTCTGATTTGTTTTAACAGGATCTTTTGGCTTTGCGAAAATATGGTCTAAAGTCAAATAGGGTTTTAAGGCAACCTTAATATTACAATTACTTAGGAATCTAAGTTCTTTGTATGTTTGCATGGCGATAAAACATATAATAGTTTTGTTTGTGGAAACACCACGTAAATTTATTACTGCAAATCTTTCGATCCGTATTAAAAGCCCGAACATATTATTAGCACTGATGAAGATCCGGGCTTACGGATCGAAAGCTTTGCAGTAATAAATTTACGTGGTGTTTCCACAAACAAAACTATTATACTTAAGATTCTCTTGATTGGTTCTGTGACACCTTGAATGTATGGAACTATTGCATAACCCTTAACAGAGGTATCACCCTCGGAGTTATTTTGGTTCCTACAAACAGGTGATCTCAGGCAATCATTAAGAAAACGTTTTGGGTAATCGTTTTCCCCTAAAACATTTAGAACATATTCACGTTCATTAGCTTGAGAATAACTGTTTGACGGCAAGGATTCAGCTCTTTGAAGCAAAGTTTTTGCTATGGATCTTTTATGTCTTACTGGGTGATGTGAGTCGTATGACAAGTATTTGTCTGCGTGTGTGGGTTTGCGATAAACATCAGTCTCTAACTTCCCTTCGACAGTTCTGTGCACATTCAAATCTAAAAAAGCTAAATATCCATTTATCTCACGTTCTACCGTGAATTGGATGGACGGCTCAATAGAATTTAAATGTTGCAGCAGAATATCGATTTCATTTCTAGAAACCGCAGAGATGACATCATCGACGAAACGTTTCCAAAACGATAGAGATACCGGAACAGAGGCTAAAGCTCTTTGTTCGACATCTTCCATTACTAAATTAGCAACTACTGCCGATACTGGTGACCCCATCGTTGTTCCAAAAACCTGTTGATAACTTAGATAATAACAGCCCTCAAACACAAAGTATGTGGTGTTGAGACAAAAAGGCAGAAGATCAATAATATCTTCTACAGGCAAGGATGTTCTCTGTACCAAAGTGGCATCCTGTCTTAGTCTTTTTGTCGCAACCTTGATGGCAAGATCAACTGGGATGTTTGTAAACAAGGAAACGACATCAAATGATACCAACACTTGATCTGCTTTAAGAGTTTTACCTCTTACAAATTCTGCAAAATGACAGGAATTTTTTACAGTGTTTTCGGTATTCCCCACCACAGGGGACAAAATTTTCGCCAAAAAATTTGAAACTCCATATGTAGGAGAATTCACAAAGGACACAATAAGTCTCAATGGAATTTCCGGTTTATGGATTTTCGGTAAACCATAGAAATGCGGAGATAGTCCATCACTGCTGTATAACTTTTCTTAAGTAGCCTTACTGATAATATTGGATTTCTTCAAAAGAAGTAACTTGGCGTTTAAACCTCTTTGAGTCTTTCCAGTAGGATCAGACTTGGGAATAGAATACGTATTTCTGTCATTCAACAGTGAAAGAGTCTTCTCGCGATAATCATGTTTGTCCATAACAACAACACAATTGCCTTTGTTCGCTGAAAGAATAACCCTGGGTCAGAGTATATGGGTCAGTCTAAACGCCAGTTTGGTACACGGCTAAAAGAACATCAAAAGGCTGTTTCAACTTTAGACAAGGGAAAATCAAAGCCGAACATATATGTTACACCAAACACGAGATTGCGTGGGAAAACTCTGAAGTAATTACCACAAACAATCGCTATGGTCAAAGACTTTGCCTAGAAGCGTGGCATATAAATATGAGTAATCATGCTTTGAATATGGATGACGGTGCCTATATTTGCCAGAGGAATATATGCATCTCATTGGCAGGTGACGTCATCCCTTGGGTATTTAAGAAGCCACGATTGCAATTTTAGATCACCCCTGATGAAGACACTAGACTGGAATGTCGAAACGTTGGGTCTTGATTACAATTCGACTGGACTTTGTAATAATTTATTTAAACCAGAGTAGCGAGCGAAACATGATAAAAGCAGTTTGTTCCAGACTTGTCACAACAACTAGTACTGGGATCAAGCAGTGCGAACACATTTCGGCCTGACAACAACCTTATTACAACTTGTTTGCAGTTCTGTAACAACTTGTGCGTTTTTACGTGTGTACTCGAAACACTTGCGAGTGTCTTGCGCATAGTGTTTTTCTTCCTCTCTTTTTTTGTTCCTTGAAAACGTGTTAAACTCGCTATATTCGCGTTTAACTGAGAATTTGCAAGTCTTTCCAGTACTCGTGAGTCGACTACAGTCTACAGTAGATGTTTATTGAGGACTGTACTAGATAAATAGAATAAGCCAGTTCTTTAGAGAATTAATTTGTGGGGGTCGTATACTTTAATTGATCCTGACGATTACAGTAATCCAACACAATATTATGAACCTTTCCCGCACTTTCCCAGTCCTTATCCTACTTCCAGTGGCTCTACACTGGGCAATATGATAAATTGGTGGAAATTGAACCATCAACCTTCAGTTTGGCTATCGAGTCGGCGAACAACTTTCTACTAAATAGATATTCTATCCTATGAAATTCTTGAAAATCTTCATATTTTTGAAGAAACTGACGAGAGACCAGCAGACGTGAATGAAGGAGCATCTTCCGATGGAAAACAGGAATCTGGAGTGCATGTTCCTGACACAACAACAAATCAAGGCCTTCCTGTTGTTCAAACGCAGTCTGGAGAAAACGTGCCAACCCCTACCTCAGGTTAGAGGCAAATCTAATAATCTCAGTTAAGTCTACCTTTTCTTCTGTAGGTCGAGAACCATTATCTATTTAATATGTACAGGACACTCCGGACAGACGCAAGCATGAAACCATTTCAGTGACGTAATATATTTAAGCCAAGATCACAGCTCGCTGTGAAGCATCACGAACCAGCACAGTTACTGTCGTTCCAATTGAAGTGTTGCTCAAATATTGATTCAATACATTACCTCGGGCTTTCATCAAGTTCCTCGAGATATTCATACACTTCCTAGTATAATTGTAAACTTCCTGTTGAATAGTTTGAATGCACCAATCACCTTGGTTGTTTGTGCAACTAACCAATCATAAATAGAAAGGAAGTGATCAGAAATGATCAAATACTTGGAATTGGCCCTTTCACAGGAAGTGTATGAGGCCCAATCAATATTTGAGCAACACTTCAATTGGAACGACAGTAATAGAGGAACCAGTAACCATCGTTTTTTGTGTTGATCATGACACGTCAAATGGCGTGTAAATATCTTGACATCGCGCTTCGTGATCATCAAACCTTTTATATTACTTTAAAACACATAGATAACATTTTGGTGTTTGGTAAACCTTTGCTGGGCTGAACCTGATTGATTTACAAAAGGAATTAAGTTTCATTTATAATGAGCATAGCTTATAAGTTATCATTACTCATTAGTAAATGCGCGTATATGAAACTGTTTTTTACTTGCATTATTTCAATATTAGTTTGTAAATCTCTGAATGGTAAAACTTGCCAATACTCCAATAATACGTTTTAGTTTTAAAAAAGCTTTTAGTTTTGCAGAGTTACATTCTCAAACGTGTAAGACACTGATAAGATCAAAGTATCACGAAATTATTTGAATAAACCACCTCGCATATATGGAGGGCGGATATCCTAAGGGGGGGGGGGGGTATTCCTAGGGTATTCGCCCCCCAAGGGGGCGATATGTCCAGGATATTCGCCCCCGGGGGCGATATTCCTAGGCGATATTCCTAGGAATATCGCCCCCTTTTAAGAGGGGGGCGAATCTCCTGGGGGGCGAAAGTCCTGTGACACCGGATCCGATTGATTACAACCACATAATGTGACACATTAAAACGAGTTATTTGTGATATAAACTGCTCTCTGCTGTATATTGTCTGACGATCCTTTGAGGGTCATTGTCTTCAATTTTTTAAGGATTATTTCACTTCTAATAATATGATACATATAACCGTACGACAAGGCAAAGCAATATGCTTTATTTGCTAAGGGTTCTTTTTATTATAACGGTTTTAAGATTTTTAATAGTCTTAATTCTTAGTATTTTTATAATGTAGTAGTTTTAGAGTAGTATAGCAGTAGTTGCAGTATATTTTGTATATTCATGTAATTTTAATAGTGCTATAGTTGATCAAATTTACAGGGCCCCTATTGATAGCAGAAGCTTGTAAGGGTTTTACATTACATTACAATGATTACATCACATTCTTGTGCCGCATATTAAACAGACAATGGACTATTTTATGACAAAAAGGTAGTGACGTACTGTATTGTCCAAGTACCACCATCAATATCCAGTATTCGGTTATTATCTGGCAGACCACCATCTGGTATCCGGCAAAGCAGTATCCGGTCCATCCCTACTTCAAAGGTCTGTATATAATCATCGATCAACAGGTTCTTAACATATACTTGAGGGCGAATATCCACACATACTTGAGGTATGGGCCTATTGCTTGATAGGCTTTGTTAAAATCTACCTATTGTATCATCTTGTTTAATTTATTGTTTAGATGCACCTTCTTCTAGTAACAAGCAACCATCTTATCTTGTCCAAGAAACAGAAAGTCCATCTTCAAAGACATCACAAATGCCGGCAGTATCTGTACAACCATCTCCTGTAGTGCAAGGCAAGTATAATTTAATTGTACCATGTCCATGCTATATATTTTAACCCTGATTGTAACACATTGCTTTATACCGTTAGCTTTTGATTATATTTATCCCGCTGTTTATTATCAAAACCGACTATTGGAGTTCGATCACACCGAGTTATGGGAATCCTTTTGAATTTCGCTACACATATTTCTTTTCTCTTTAATTAGGTCCTCCGGCAAATTGGCGAAACCACGCTATATGTCCCAGTCCATTTGAAACCAAAGAGTTGATTCGAATTGCACAAAGAATTGGCGATCAGTGGGTAGCCGTAGCCAAGCTCACGGGTGTTTTTAAAGACTGGGAAATTACTAATATAAGTTGCAACCATACACTTTCAAGTGCTACATTGAAAGCAGATCAAATGTTAACAGATTTTAAATCACGTTTAGGAAAGCGAGAAGTTCTTGCCGACGCTATTAAGGAGTCAGGAAAATTGGACATAGCCAAGAATGTACGCTCAGGATTTTATATTTATAGTACTGATTGATCGAGTATTATACCCATCAGTACTGTAGTACATTGTGACCTTGCACATATTGATACTATATATTTCTAGTGATTGGACGGCTAAACATTTAAAAAAAACCTTTTCTCACACAGTTAAACTATTTAGTATAGAAAGCGGATTTAAAATCCGTTTTAAGAGATGCTCTTATGTCTGAGATTTTCATATATAGATGTATATCACTACAAGAGATTCTCCTTCAAGGATGAATTATATACATTTACTGATTCACAATATAATTTGTACACAACAACTAAATCCTGCACGTTTTTAATGCGGTTAACGCTTGGTGAACATTTCGTGTCGCAACGCACACCGAATTATCAGAAAGCACGAGGGATGCCTGATCGGGGGGGGGGGCGCTCATTGAGCTTTGGTCAATTGATCAAGTGCGTAGTTATTCACTAGAGGGAACTACGGCATGAGCAAGGAGCAGCATTACTCTGTAGTTGTGCTTGACAATCCCTCAATCATGTTATCTTATTTTGTCTCTATTTTATGTTTTTGTAACTGCCTTGGCAAATCCAAAAATGAATTTGATAAGAAATTGGCACCTCGTTGCACCCTTTTTGCCAAGACTGGTCATCTGTGTATCTTTTGCTCCCTCCCCCGCCCGGTAAATTCATCCAGGAAAACGTAATTTATAAGTTGCTCTGGACGAATTGTTTCCTAAATAATATTGCTTAATTAAGAACGTGGACATTATTCTCATTAGAGAGGTTAAGATACCCCGATTCCGGTTTACGGGTACGGGTGATATACACGTACCCGTACCCGTAAATTGGGGAATAACTTGTAACTTAAGAAATCCAAGTATTCCGGCGTGAGAAAACCGATCAGAGAATGGCAACTTTCGCTGTTGAAGTTCTCCATAAATTGTTGAAAACTTTGACCAGCATATGTGCATTATTTATTTGGGTAAGATGTTTGAAAATTTGTACTATTTAAACGGCCCAAAAATAGTAAACAGAAAACACCCGTACCCGTTTGTCGTTTACGTGTAGACCACGGTTTACCGCGGGGAAACGGGTAGAAATTACGGGTAAAATTTCTGACATCAGCAAAAATTGATAAACAAAATGGCGATACTCGTACCCGTAAACCGGAACCGGGGTATCTTAACCTCTCTATAATATAACATTTGGGGTCGTCCACATGAGACCGGACGAATTCGAAACTGTTGACAAATTTTCACACTGCACGGTGCGCATGAAACTGGATGAATTGAGTACAGCTAACCGTATGCATATGAATCATCAGTGATATGAATTCCCGTGTGAACAATTGAACTATAGGACGAATTTTCGTGTGTTTCCGAATTCGTCCGGTATTGTGTAAATGTAATAGATGTAAGTGTTTAATATGATACTGCAGGTGGTGGTCAATTTCAAATGTATTGACAAAGGGAAAATGATGCACAATGTTTGCATTATAGATATAGTTCCCACCAAATACTTAACACAAGGCAGGGTTCGAAGTAGAGAAAAAATATGGCCGGCTAGTCTAAAATTTTTTGGCAGGTGAAATAAATTTTAGCCTGCCATTTTTATTTATTGAACTGCCAAAATGACGATGTCTCATATGAGTCGTACTGTAACAATCAGTGTTTTCATGATAAGCATTTTTGTTGTTTTTAAACTTGTCTATTTACTGCAGTGAACTTGGATTTACTTTACAAATATAAACGTATTTAGTCAACTAAATGATCTAGTATATATGAGTTGTGGTAAGCAAATGAAACGAAATATTTCTATAGAATTTCACCTGCCATTTTTTTTTACTTGGGCAGTTCAAATTTGTTTTTGCCTGTCATTTCTAAAATATGGCCTGCTTTTGGCCATTGGCAGCCCGCTATTTCGAGCCCTGCACAAGGCCATCTATAAGTTTTCATGAAGTTATGTTAGAAGTAATAACAGGGCAGTGTGGACTATAAAGGCCGATTTAGACTACCCAACTTTCGCCTCAAACTGTCGCATGCAACCTGTTTACAACTTGTTATTTGAGTTGTACTGTGAAAATCAACATGCAACTCGCCTATGTTGTCGTAGCAAAGTCTAGGAAATGTTTTGTGTTTCTATTCTTGCTTTTATGCTGTTTGGACAGTACTAATAAAATAATACACCTTTCATTTAAATGAAGGTATTTTATTTGATCGGTCGAAATCTCTGGGTCGAAATGTCGTCACAGAATAAAACTGATCGGCCATTTAGTGCTTTTGTTCGACCAATGGCCGACTGTTATAGTCCATACTGTAACTGGGCGCTCAAAGCGAATTGTATGTAATTATCTTTTTATTATTGCAAAACTATACAGTATAGCCTGGCTAAGTTTAGTAAATTTACACAATTTATGGACTGAATTGCACAAGATTGTGCAGTATACTATAATTAAAATTAGTGAAATTGGAAGGAAATAAAGACGAAACTAAAACAGTACTTGACAATCGCAGGGTTGAGTGTATTGATAAATATATTCAGAAATAATTTGGAAACTAGTTTGGAAGGAGTTCAATATCTAGCAATGTTATCCCTGTTTCAAATGTCGCGCTTCTCATGTGCCGCACGCACTAGAAACAATATAGATAATGAGGCATTTCAGCTGATTATCTATTGTTTTTAATGCGTTCGGCAGACGAGAAGCGCGACGTTTGAAACAGGCCTTAGTCTCATACCCATGCGGTATATATTAAGAATCTGTTGTTTGCTTTGACGACTATGCAGCACAGTCGAAGTTGTGCCTTTCCCAACACCAAGGCATTTTTTAATACCATGGACTGGTGGGGCATTTGCCCCACTGGGCCCCTTCCTCTGCCCCACCACTGAAGAAAAAAAATGACCTATTGCTCCAAAGCCAGGGCCCTATGACCAGTATTGAGTAAATGAGTTTAAATTAACGTTGAAAAGAAGTTTAAAAAACAAAATTTGTTGGTGAGCATACTTAAGCCCCGTTTACACTACGCTTAATTTTTGGTGCGGCACGGATAAAATTGGTACCCGTACCACTTTTTTGGTTCTTGGACTACCTATTTAGGTAGTCCAAGAACCAAAAAGTCGTACGGTACCAAAAATTGAGCGTAGTGTAAACGGGGCTTTAAACTTATGTTGTGTTTAGATGTTTAGCATGCAATTTATTACACATTTTACCATTAAAATTTTGTTTTGAGAAGCTGAGATTTTTTTAAAAACGTTCTCAGAATGCAGGAAATGCTATTTCAGAGACCCAAATTTAAAAAATTTCCTGGGGGACATGCCCCAGGCACCCCTAGCTAACTCGAGCCTGCGGTTCTCGGCTCACACCTTCGGCGATCGCAAACTATCCTCTGGGGGGGGGGGACAAGGAAAACGGGCCCTTTCGCAGTTTTGCCCCACCACTGAAGAATCCTTAAAAAATGTACGCGCGTTGCTAAGAATTATTAATTAGGGGACGTACATGATCTCCATGATTTGGGGTAGAGGGAATATACATAGAGGGAATATAGCTTGAATTTTTTTGTCAAATACTTTGATTTACCAATTACGGGGCCTGTAGGCTGAATAAAATTTGCGGACCTCGAGGTTGTTTACTGTAAAATCGCAATATGTTTTCCCGGAATAATTCGAACAGGATTTGTTCACGTGCTTTATACGGAGAAACATTGTGAATTTCATTTTATAGTACAACGAAAACAACCTCGCATTCAACCGAGGCGCGTAGTGGAAAGAGCCTGGGTACGAGGTTGCCTCGCATTCTCATTGGTAGAGGAAGTTTTACCTTAGCACCACTAATCAGGAAGTTCGCCCCTAACTTACCCTAACATCAACTTTCATTAAATAATTAACAAAGTTTGAAACAATGAACAAATGTTTAATTTATGTACGCCTCACGGTCAATTGCAATTGACTGTAAAGCCTGTTCCACTAGGCGGAATTTTGCGCGCGGAGCGGAATTTTTCTTTGTCTTTTCTAATTAGTTCCACCCGAGAAATCACAAGACAAAGAAAAATTCCGCTCCGCGCGCAAAACTCCGCCTAGTGGAAAACCGGCTTAAGTTCAACCTCTTGTCCACGTTTGCGCTCCTCCTGTTCCTTTAATATTGAGAAAGTTATAAGCGGAAATATCCACGAATTATGGCAGTACTTCATGAGTGCTGAACATTGCGCACCTCGCCGAAACGCCTAGCATGAAAAACGAGGAACTTATAGTTTTGGATTAACTGCTATATCAATATCTCGTGATGCATTGCTTAATTAATTAAGGACAAAAAATAATCAATTCTAATAAAAAGTGCATTATCTGAAAATCACGAACCTCTTGAAAGCCAAAGCCTGTGGGCTTCAGCCTACCGGGTAATCCGCTACTAACTTTGATTAGAATAGAGATTAGAGACTTCCTGAATATGCTTGAGTACACACGAAACAATAGCTTGACTTCAAGGTGAACAATGTTATCCAATGGAAATAGTAGGTTTTCATTGCCAGCCAGAAAATTCGGGAAGTGTCTAGTATAGACCAACTTGGTATATAGCGGTATGCATATTGCCCATGCACTTCAATGTTTTTTTACACTTTTGTTACATGTAATATTTTGGTTTCATTGCCATGATAATCAGAATGCTTTGTTTCGTACCTACTGTAAAGGCGGATTTCCAGTCCTCGCACGAAGCTCCTCACAACTCGCTGCGAGTGCTTGCAGTTCACTGGTGCTTGCATCTAATTAAAATCAACTGTTTAGCATTGTGATTGGATGAAAGTGCTCATGCATGCACTCGCAGCGAGCTGGGAGAAGCTTCGTGCGAGGACTGGAAATCCGCCTTAAGGGACGGAGGGTATTTGGTGCAGGATATTTTTTTACGCTCGCCCTGTGGAGGATTTTTATTTTTGCCATAATTTGCTTGCAGTTAAGGCTGTGCTCTAATTTCGGAATTTCGTATTTGCACAATCCCCCCCCCCCAAAAAAAAAAAAAATTAATGGTCCGTCCCTAAATATCAGCCCAGCTGAAAAATATAACTAAAATATTGTATCTATTGAATAATGAAATGAGACAATAATATTGAGAAATGAAATTCTTGATACGAAACAAAAACATTCTGAAGGGAAGATTGCCTGGCTGTAAAATACTGAAAATTGTGTTATACACTGAGAACAGTTGGATTTTTTGAAAGTTGATGTGTTTTTGTTCATGGATATACACATATATCTACAATCAGTTTCAAATGTCTTGGAGACTTGGGACAGATGCCACAAAGACCTAGCTTTAATTTGAACAAACGTCGTTCCCCAACGCCCATTATTCAATGTTGTGTACCGATTTTTCGTCAGATTTTATGCCGGCGTTTTGAAAGTATTTGAATTGAGAAAGCAACAATGATTGGGGTGGGGTATTGTGTGTAACAAACTGTATAGATCGATTTACAGATCTAAGGGGCCGATTACATGGAGCATTTTCAACCCCGGGATTGAACTCAGCCCTGTTAAGTGGGTTGAAATTTTTTGCGATTATATGGACGATTTCAACCCCGGGATTGAAACGTTATACTATACAGGGTGTCTCAAAAAAAACCAAAATCATTGAAATAACGTATTGTTCGAATTTCAATGCCGTAACACAAAGGATTTTGACAGGGTGATTAATTTGTTTTAAAAAATTAAAATATCTTCGTAAAGTGAACGTTTGTTTGCTCATGGGAATTTAAAAATGCTTCGTAAATTGTAATATGCGTAATATGCATTCGTGGGTTTAGTACTTTATGCCTGACATAACAAGTTTACGCTGAGTATTACCATTCATTATAGCAGTTATGTCAATCTTTTATGCACTCGTGGGATTAACTTAGTGCTAGGGCATTGAATATCGAACAATACGTCAATTTCAATGATTTTGGGGTTTTTTGAGACACCCTGTACGTTCGCGGCATCGATTCGTGGAAGTAAAAAAAGCCTTTATTTTGTCTTCTTGTAATAAATAGTCACTACCACGTATGCTCGAATAACTCATGATAATTTCAGCCCTGGGTTGAAACGATTACATGACAAAATTTTCAACCCAGGGCTGAGTTCAACCCCGGGGTTGAAATTTCAACCCTGCTAGCTGAAGCAGGGTTGAAATTTCAACCCGGGGTTGAACTCAGCCCTGGGTTGAAAATTTTGTCATGTAATCGCGCGTTTGATTTTGATAGAGTTTTGTATTACAGACAGGGCTGAAATTTCAACCCGGTAAACAGGGCTGAGTTCAACCCCGGGGTTGAAAATGCTCCATGTAATCGGCCCCTAACTGACTGCATGTGCCCCAACAACTTTTGAAAGTGATTGTACTACGCTGCTGCGAAAAATGCAAGGCCCTCCAGCAAGAATCGTGTACCTGTGGTCGATCGAGATGTCCAAAGTACCGTATGATGGAAATTTAAGGTAAATTCAGTTTCCGAGTTATATCCATATAATACAACTTTTGCATAATGCATGATAACCGCGTGCTTCTGTATAGCAATAAACTGTGATAATTAACATAAATTGTTTTGCGTTACCATAGTATCGTATCATATTTAACAACTCAATTGACTGGCTAGATCGAGTCAGTGACACTGCATGGAGAAACCATATGTCTTGCTTTCGCTCACGTAAATGTGTGAAAGCCCAGTAGAAATTGAAGGAGAGTTTACAGAGATTGTAACCGTGTGTTAAAGAAATGCAGTGATTTAAGTAGAATGTAATAATTGAATCTCGGTGTTGACTAAATCAGTATCGCTAATCGCAAATCGCTTAATTATGAAACAACCTGTCAGCAGTACGTCGCCACATTATGAACCAGGCTCGTTCAACTTTACATCTCGACTAGAGCTCGAAGCCAAATCTAACCTGCTTCGCTCAAGAAGTGATACATGTCTTGGAAAATGTCGAAGTCAGACCGACAGCCTTCCTAGAATCCACACTATCATTAATCCATGGACCCTACCGACTATTGACTTTACTCTTCACGGCTATAAACCCAAGTACGAGCCCAAGTACTCACTGTTGGAAGCAAAGACGAGTCTACATCCTAATAAAAAGCGAAGAAACAAGGAATTTGTAAAGATACCCATACCAAAAGTGTTAGAAAAACCTGTTGGTAAAGAAACCCCATTCGTAACGTCATTTCGTTCACCGAGTGCGAAAACTGCAAGGATAATGGGGGTGAAAGAAGGCGTGCATCCCGCAGGACCCTACAAACCATTGGGTCCTCATGCATTCAGAGGGGATAATTTTCGACCGGTGAGTGTCTGATCAACTTCTCAGGATAAATTCGAAAGCGTCTTGAAATTTGCGGAATTTCGGCCTTTATTCACAAGGGACGCATGAAATTCGAGCACATTCAACCGTACATATTCCCAAACGAACTCAACGAATGGAGTCGGGCAATTATTTGAGTATATAGTGCTCGGAATTCGTCCGGAATGTAGTTCGAATATGCACATGAAAGCCTTGATTCACAGATCAAATTTTATCTTATAAGTTGCCGTTGTTTGTGTGTAGAGTCTGAACTACTTGAAAGAGATTAAACTTGACCTCCTGACAGAGGGTCTTTCCTGGCAAAGTCGAAGTGTTCTTTATCAGGTAGTTCAGAAGTAACTTGTTGGATAGAGCGTAGCAAATTCAATGCTACATGCTCTGGAATTATACCTACTTTGCTATGTATTCGTTTCATTGAAAGCCCAAGACGAACATTTAGAGTTTGCAAATTCATAGATTGAGTTTTCCATGTAATTTGAGAATCAGGCAAAATGACCCTTCGGTTATTTTCATATTACAGTAAAGTCTAAGATATTAGGAACCGGTCATTATTTATGGCGGGGGTAGCACCGAAGGGAAAAGGGTTGGGTAAACAAAATTTTGAGAGAGTAAAAGGTTGTGTAAATGAAAAACAAAACAACTCGAGAGTTGGGTAATAAATATTTATTGTCATTTCCAAAGCATCACTCATTCAAATATTGAAGACTAAAAAGCAATGCAACAGTCATATATCAATACAATATGTAAGTCAATCAATCAATCAATCAAAGTCACTAACCTGAACATTTTCCGCTTTGTCAGGAGGCAAATGGTGTCTCCAAAGAAAGTACATGTGCACACAATATGAAACTTTAGACTGCAGAAAATTGCACAGTTATCAAACTCATGTCACAGAAGTGTTATAAAGAACATGTGTAACAACTGATTGGTATCCTTTTGTAAAGTTTTTGGCCAGGGGTGGGTATATATTTTTAAATTGATATTTGAGATTGGGTAAAAATATTTTTGACTTTATAATTGTTGGGTCAGCAAAATTTTTGCCAGGAAAAACATTTCTCTTCGGTGCCATCCCCCGACATAAATATTGACCCCTCCCTTAGTAGTTACAATAATTCGAAGATTAAATGGCATTCTTTGTTTTGCTTTTGCCCGTGGTCAGGGACGCCGGAACGATGTGAAGGCAATTAAGGGGGGAAGATTTTCGTGAAAGGGCACTTTTGATATATACTAAATGATGTTTGCAAAACATCGGGAATTGGACTTCGCCCAATCATGTTTTCTATTTATTAGATGATAGGGGTGTGAGGGTGTTAATTTCTCCGCCAGGCGATTGTGCTATTCGTGAAGCTCAATGACTGAATTTCTTGCGTTTTCTGAAGCAAATTCGTAAAAGAATTGCACTAACATTTCTGACAATTCGTTATTTCACTAAGGCAATCCTTTAAATTGAAAGGGCACCTTTACACCCCCTTGCCCCTCCTGGTAAAGGGCAACGGGGGCGGCTGCCCCTCCTGCCCCCCCCCCCCCAGTTCCGGCGTCCCTGCCCTTGGTTATGTTATGTGATATAATTCTATAATTATATGAGCATCAATATTAATGAACAGTTGTATTTGTTGCGTGGCAGATGAGGATTATATAATGAATACAGGGTGTCCCAAAAAGTCCCAAAACTATTGAAATAAGTTCAAATAACGTATTGTTAAAATTTGAATGCCTCAGCACTCTGCTGAACCCACAATAAATTTTATGTATAAAGAAACTGTTTAAGAAGCTGCTTTAAATTCCCAAGAACAGAAAATCGTGCGCTTCACAAAGATATTTTAGTTTCCTAATAAGTCAATATTTAATATATGCACCCTTGTCAATCAGTTTACGCATCTTTGCGTTCAGCTTAGTGCTAGGTGTAGGGCATTGTAGGGCATTCAAATTCTAACAAACGTTATTTCAATAGTTTTGGGGGTTTGGAGGGACACCCTGTATATAATATATATGATCCTGTAAAGCAGTTTAAAGTTAAACTTAAAAATTATCGAGAAAATAAAAAACAAGTGCCCTGCATAAATTAATCCAGGCAAAAACAGTGAAAAACAAACAACCAGTGGCAGTGTTGTAACGAGTCGAGTCATTGAGAGTCGCTATTTTCAGCGACTCAAGTCCAATACGAAAAATGACTCGACTCGAGTCAACAGAACCAAATGACTCGACTCGGACTTGACTTGCTGATTTTTCCATAAACTGACTCGAGTCAACTCAGCTACAACTTGTACAGAGTAAATTCATCAGAATTATTGTGATTGTATTGCTTGGGAAGAACAATGAGCCCTGTGAACAATGAGAACTTAGAAACTTTATCAGAAAATATATGGGATTTGCATAGAATATATTCCTGACTGGCATGCCTATATTACATTTCTGTTTTTAGAAACAACGCTAGTGCCACAGTTTTTAAAACGGAGTCTCAAAATTTTTTGTACTTATACTAATTCTGACCGGCTATTTTCATTTTTGGTATTTATGAAGAGCTATATAATTTCAAATTAACTTACAAAGCGTGACTCGACTCGATCAGAAACTGAAATGACTCGACTCGACTCGTGACTCGACCTTTGAGTGACTCGACTCGACTCGTGACTCGACCTGTAGGTGACTTGTTACACCACTGCAAACAACTGTATGAATGAGCCATATAACTTCATATTTAATAGCAGTTAATAATTATCTCAATCTATTGACTATTCGTGAATTATTTGCTGAATAAGATCCCTAAAACTCTATCGATTGTAAATGTATAGACAGAGTACCAGAAAAGCCGTTAACATTTTAGTACGTTATCCAAATTACAATGATGAAGCCAAATATTTTTTTACTTAATTTATATTTATAAACTGAACATTAACTCTGCATATCACTGACAATAATAGTCAAGATGCTCTTTCTTCCACTCTATATCACGGTAGTCCACGGTAACCAAGAACATTAGAACTAGTTGTTTAATTAAAAGAAGCAGATAATGTAAACACGCTCAGTCGGCTCAGAGAACGGATCTACCAACTTTCACATTGCTAGCTGTCATTAAGGGACGGACCATTTGATTTTTCATGGGGGAGGGGCGCGCAAATCCGAAAAAAAATATCGAGCATGTCTTGAATGGAAGAAAAAAAAATCGAACATCACTAACACCAGCAAAAAAAAATATCGAGCACAAAAAAATTCTAAATTAGCAATACTCTATATTGAAAGAAAAATTTAGTTTCCCTTAATTTTTTTCTGTTGAGTGTTTCGGTTCTGCCTTGGTTAACAATACCGGAAGTATACATGCAAAATACAAACCGATACAAACCAGTTCTGACAACTTTGACTTCAATAATTCAATTATCCACAAATTACCTTAATGGTATCCCTAAAATCCCCAATCTTAACACTGAAAGTCCCACACTTCTGTAAATTCGACATCGATTAATGAGGGTGGGATAGGGGGGGGGGGTATGATTCACGTTTCACAACAAAAAAATACCGTTTCACAATTCACGTGCCATAAAAAAGCAATTTCACATTTCACGGATAACGAGACTCTAATAAACATAATATAATAATAATAGCTTTAAGATTATGTTTAATGCATGGTACAGTACTACGCTTTAAGTTCTCTTCTCTGCCTGGCAGTTAAAAACTACTTACAAATTTGAGTGATGAGTACGTCCGACGATCTCCGAAAGGCCTCCGAAGTTTCTACTCTTGTGCAATCGAGTGAGATCGATCATATAAACTATTATCGCGTATTATGTCCATTATCACTATTATAAAATAAATCGGAATAAACAAATCAAAATCACAGTTCACGAAACAGACATCCTTAATTCCCATTTCACGGAGCATTTTTTGATCGACAATCACGCCTCACGGCTGTAGAACAAAACACAGATCATGACAGTAAAATCAAGCATTTCACACGATCAAATATTGACCATTCACGCAGTGGCGTAGACAAGGGGGAGCCCCCCCCCCCAATAGGCTGATGGACTGCCCTTGTAAAAAGATGAAATCCGGGTAGAAATTAGGGGGGGGGACGATGACTACCCATGTGACTACCAATCTCATCTGTTCACCAAATTGTCTATAAAAGTTCTAATCTTTCCTAAATCTAACTACAGAAAATAATGCCTATTGTGGTTATTGGTTAAAATGCGTTTTAAAACTTCGATTTAACTATTCACACGCGACCAAGTAAGCTTCGTTGTGTCAAATTAAGGATCCACATTATTGTGAAATCATTAAAAATCACGTCTTTCCTGCGGTAAATAATCTTCAGAATTATGCAAAATCTCTCCCCAGAAACACGGGAAATCGCCATTGAGGGACTCCAGATTTAAAAATTTTCCCGGGGGAGAATGCCCACGGACCCCCCTAAAAATGCTTATCCCTTCGGCGTTCAATATATGACCTCCCAAAAATTATAGTTTGGCTACGCCACTGCATTCACGGGTGACAAAAATACCCTTTCCCACCCGGCTCATTAATATCGCTCTCTGATTCTGAATAAAAATCGCAGTTTATAATACGTATTGGGAACACTGATACGATTGGGAACCGTGAGAATTTGTATATAGATGCCATTACGCCAATGCAAAATGGGTTACACACTTTAATACACTTGATCCAATTTTGATTGGGACTATGGTCTACATTTCGTAGACCATAGCCCCGTATAAAATGGGCCAAGTATAAAATTGGCCAGGTATAAAATGGGCTGTGATAGTTATATCATAGAATAGGAAGGTATACCAGAAGTCTCACTCAAGCAAGTATTTGTCCGCTTTTTTACAAGCGATTCGTCCGATCATCAATCACGCCATCCTGGCTAGTACAACCGGCACTTTGTACCTATCAAAACCTGATAAAAACTTCCGGCTGTACTAGCCAGGATGGTGTGAGCGAGTTAAAATTTTCGTGGGTTACACTTCTGCTATACTTTCCTATTTTGTGGTTAT